GCCTCTAGGCCAATCTAGAGCAACATCTGTCACGTGACATCACGGATGCCAGCCTGCCTGGAATGGGAACTGGAGATCAGGGTGGCTGGCAGTGGTTTCTCAGATGGAGGCCTCGGTCCCAAGTCCCAGGTGATGGTGGCGTGGGCTGGGCCACTCGATGAGCGTTTATTCACTGCCGGTCGTGTGCCACCCCCATGACAGGGGCCGTAAGACAGAAGTGAACAGTCACGTAACAGTCCCTGCTCCTGTGGGCAGACAGCCTAGCCAGGGGTGCGGGGGACCAGACGGTACTTATCGGTTAACTGTACAAATAGCCACCCGGATTATGATGGGGCCGATTCTGTGCAAGAAAGGGTGGGTGCTAGGAAAAGGGTGTGTGGGTCGGGGAGGGTCCACTTAGTAGGGCCCTGGCTATCCTGGTCCCGCTTGGAATATTGTAGTGGTCGTGGGGTTCCAGAGGGAGGTGGCTCAGCCAGGGAAACCAAGCAAGGGGGCCTCTGGGCCTGCAAAGTTTAGAGTCTGTCCTAAAGCAATTGGGAAAATGGGATCCCATTTAGGTTTATAAACTGGGACGTGGGATAATTAGATTTATGGCTCAGAAAGGAGGCTCCAGCTGTTGGGGGAGAACAGGTCTGAGTGGGCAAGGAAGGATGGGGGCTGATGGAGCACTGGGGAGGCCGCTGAGATGGCACAGGGGTGGTACCTCCAGGGGATCATGAGCATGAAGCCCCAGTGCTTCCCTGGGGCCTCGTTGATGGTTGTCCTCAGCCAGCTCCAACCCAGGGTCTCATGTCCTGGGAAAGATCCATGTAGACGCCTCGTTGTGCCCTAGCGTGACCGACTCATCCTGGTTGGCCCAGGACCTGCCTGATTTCAGCCTTTAAAGTCCGCAGTACCAGGAAATCCCGGGACGGTTGGTCACCTGGCTCTGGGACAGGACTAAGTGGAGGCAAAAGAGTCAGCTTCCCTCACCATGTGACGCTTCTCTGCATCTTCTCCCCAAGCAGCTTGGACAGAGGCTTAGCAGCTAATTTGCTGTGTGGCCTGGAACAAGTCTCTTGGTCTCTCTGGGCTGCTCTTTTCTCATTTGCAAAAATGGAATTTGACCTGAAGAGCCTGCTGGTCCCCTGGCAGCCCTGATTTCTGGGCTCCGCGGCTATATTTCCAAGCTTAATCAATGCAGAGGACTGAGCGGACAGGGCAGGGCCATATACCCACGGGGCAGCCTCAGACAAGGCACCTGGCCTCTCTGTGCCTCGCTTCTTCTTCCATAAAATGAGAATAATAGTACTTACCTCATGGAAGTGTCAGCACCAAGTTAAGCAAGCGAAACTATTCTGTGTTTGGCACAGCTGGATGCTCTGGTTAACAAAAAGCAAGCCTGGGAGTTAAGATTTTCCTAAGGAGTGACCACCAGTTTTCAAAACAATGAGGCTGGGATTAAGCACGCTTACATTTCAAGTTTCACAACGCGTACTTTATATTCACAGCACTTACACTGTTAAGGCTGCTTTGTACCTCTGAGTGTCTCGTTCTGTGAGGGGGAGATGAGGCCCTTTGTGCCACTGTCCCCCCATAATAGAAATCGGTTGAGTTAGTCGAGGTCACATTGTGCGCATTGTACAGGTGAGAAGATTGAGGCTCCGGGAGGTCAAAGGTCCTGCCATTAAGCGGTAAGGGCAGAATTTACAGCTGGATCTGATTCAGGGTCCTGTTCTGTCTGCGAATTGACCTCTACTTCCTCAGGGGGTGTGTGGGTGGGGGCAGGAGGGACGGGAGGGGGTGCAAGCAGGCAGGTGTGGGGAGGGGGCTCCCTATGAAGATCTGAGTAGGGATTCCCTGAGTGGAGCAGCTACAGTGCCCTGGCCTGACACCGACAGCCTGGCCTGATCCTTCTGTGGACAGGAGCCTGGTGGAAGCTGTTTCTTTGCATCGCTGGTTGCCATGGAGATGGATGTGCGTGTGTTTGTGTGTGTGTGTATACGTGTGTGCACGCATTGAGATGCACCTCAAGTTGGCACCCCAGGCTTGCCCCAGAGGTGCCAGCAGTGGGTGGGCAGACCAAGCCCATGCGCTTGAGAGAAGGGGAGGAAAAGGCTGGCGTTCTTATTTTTATTATGAAAAACTTGGAGCAGGTACAAGAGTAGAGGATACGGTACAATGAACCTCAGCTCCCCATCACCCACCTTCAAACAGTCCCCAACTCTTGGCTAATCCTGTTCTGCCTCTACCCCCTCATCCCACATACTTGGAAGCACATTCCAGACATCAACCATTTCTTCTGCAAATATTTTAGAATATGACTCAAAAAAAAAAAAGGTTTTTTTTTTTAAACCACCATCACCCCTCCTAGAGCTAACAGTAGTGCTTTAATATCAGCAAACATCCAGTGTTCCAATTCCTCTGGTTTTCTCAAAAATGTTTTCTTTACAGTTGGTCGAAATCAGGACCCATATAAGGTTCAACACATCGCGATTGGTCGATATGTCTCTCATGTCTCTCTTAATCTGTATGGACTGTCTTCCTCCTTTTTTCTTTGCCTGCCATTTATTGGTCGGAAAAACTGGGTCGGTTGTTCTGTGGCACGTCCTACAGACTTGAGTTTTGCTTACTGCGTCCCCATATTGCTGTTATATGTGATCCTCCCCCAGCTATACTTCTTAGAAGTCAGTAGTTAGATCCAGAAGCTCACTTAGATTCCTGTTTGGGTTTGTGTGTGTGTGTGTGTTGTATGACTTTATAGTGGCTGTTTAGTATTTCCGTTTAAAGGCACATAATGTCTGGCTGTCCCTCTTTGTGACATTAGCTGCCATTGATGATGACTGTTCAGATCATCCGCTGGAGGTTGCAAAACGGTGGCATACTAATCTGTCCTCTGGCTTTGTTTGCGAGCTGGACTACTTCCATAAAGGGAGACCTGCCCTTACCAACTCTTTGGTTACTGCAAGGAATAGTTCATATCAGAAAGGATAAAGGCTTGGTTCTGTCCCTTTACTTGACAGTTGTCAAAATAATGAGTCGGTTCCTCAGCATCCTCCAAAGATGACAAATGAGTTTATGTTTTTCAATTTTTCTTTCTTTTTTAAAAAATTGATTCATTTGAGAGAGAGAGAGCATGAGCAGGGGGGTAGGGGCAGAAGGAGAGAGAGAAGCATGCTCCCTGCCGAGCAGGGCGCCTGACGTGGGGCTCGATCGCAGGACCCAGGGATCATGACCTGAGCTGAAGGCGGATGCTTAACCAACTGAACCACCCAGGCATCCGGGTTTTTTTTTTTTTTTTTAAGTTTCTTGGTAACCTCTCAGATCTGGATGTATGTGACACCTTTTAATCCTTTGCAGTTATTGTTCTTATTGATACTCAAATTGTCTCATCTTTGGCCTTTCACACTGTCCCTTGCATCCTTTCTGGCATGACCCCAGAAGTCTTGGCAGCTCCACGTGACCTGGTGACCAGGAGTTCCATGCTCACCTTGCACATTTCCCCCCTCATACCTGGAATCAGCCGTATCTCCACAGAACCCTGGTTTCTGGTTAAAAGTGGTGCTTAGAGGGGATCCCTGGGTGGCTCAGCGGTTTAGCGCCTGCCTTTGGCCCAGGGCACAATCCTGGAGTCCCGGGATCGAGTCCCACGTCAGGCTCCTGGCATGGAGCCTGCTTCTCTCTCCTCCTGTGTCTCTGCCTCTCTCTCTCTCTATTTCTATCATGAATAAATAAATAAATCTTAAAAAAAAAAAAGTGGTGCTTAGGGACCATAACGTGGGGGCCGGCAGTGCTTACCTAGCTACAGAACTGATCGTTATTTCTCACCTTTTCAGGGGATGTGGCCGGAAACACAGTTTTATTTCATCAGGCAAAATATAGCATGAGTTCACCTTGATACTTTCCAATCCTGGCTGCACACTTGAGTCACATGGGGACTTATAAAAGGACGCCTGGGTGGCTCAGTGGTTGAGTGCGTGCTGTTGGCTCAGGGTGTGATCTCAGGGTCCTGGGATCGAGTCCCACATCAGGCTCCCCACAGGAGGGACATTTATTCATGTCTCTCATGGATGAATAAATTTAAAAAACCTTTAAAAAAACAAAAACACCTCCAAATCACAATTAAATCAGAATCCCTGCAGCCAGGACCTTGACATCAGTATTGGTTTTTTTTTTGTTTTGTTTTGTTTTGTTTTGTTTTGTTTTTTAAGCAGTTGGGGTTATTTTGATGTGCAGCCCAGGGTTTGAAATCACTGCTCTAGTCCCTGCTTCTGGGCCAAACGAAGAGAAGAAAGAAGCCAGGGGTGATAATAGAATGGTGCTGTCTTCGAAGAAGCTTGGGTTTGAATTTGGGCACTCCCAGTTTCTGCCTCTGAAATCACTGGAAGAGCACCAATCTCTCGACTTTTCTGCACTAATCGAAATGGTCTACGTCAGTGGTGTCCGATGAGGTAGCCATAGCCCCACTGAACTAGTTGCTGGTGCAACCCAGGCAGTGAATTTTCAGATTTCTTTTTTTTTTTTAATTTTCAGATTTCCTAACTCTTAACTAATTTACACAAAAGTAGCCACACATGACTACACACACACGGTCTTGGACAGTGCCACTCTGGAAAATGGCTTCACATCTATGAGCTTCACATCCGTAAAACAGGTACTAATAAGACTCTCTTCATTGGGTTATTGTCAGGATTAGAGATAATGTATATCAAGCGCATGGCACACAGAAGACAGTCAATAAAATGCTCCTTCCTTTTCTTATTAACATCAGCCTGTCACTCTTGGGGGGCGGGGGGGAGAAAAAAAGAAGAAGAAAAAAGAAAAGAAACCCAAATACTTGCCCTGTAATTGAGTGCTCAGAAGCACCCCACCACAGAGATTAAAAATGCGAAGCCGTTCCAGAGAAACTCTTGGAAAATATTCCTTAATTGTAAGAAGTTCAAATGCAGCAGGAGGTTATCAGTTGCAAGGGCTGTATTTTGTTACAGATCTAGCCGCAGCTCAATAAATTAAGCAATCACTCAAAATAACATGTTGCTTTAATCCCCTCTTGGAACAATTTCAAGTCGTTTGGTTTTATATTAGCACAGCCCTTGAAAGGAGACTCACGTTGGTCTCATTTCGTTTTCCTCAATCCATCAGGCCCTCTCCGGGTGGATCTCGGCGGGGCTAGCAGGAGCGAGGATTCGGAGCCAAGAACTCCTTTTATCAAACCCGGAGCGTTTTCCATCCTCTGGCCTTTATGTGTTCCACGGCTCATTCGCGAAAATTACTGGCAGGTTTATCTGCAACTAGCACAGAAAGAGACACCTCTCAGCAGCCGGTTCTGGACGTGAAAAGCAAACTTGCAGTGGCTTTTCCATTCTCCTCTTCTCCCTAGTGGTTTATAATCTCACAGTAGAATTTCATTTCCCCTAGAAACTTGGCACCGGAGGTGTCAGCCGGGGAACATATTTGTTTGTGTAAATTAAAAGAAGAATATGTTTTGACCATATTTAAGTTCTAACCGCACCAAAGAAATAAATACTGACTTGCACAACGCTTCTAGCTGCATGGTTCTGGCTCACCTCCCCAGACTCTGCCTTTGTTTATAAAACCCAAAGCTGATGAGAACTCTGAATGGCTTATTGCCTCAGGAAGGTACAGGGACAATCTCAGGGGCCGTGTCCACCCCCACCCGGGGCCCACCTGTCAGGTCCGCTTACCTCGTCTAGGACTTGCTTCCCCTGACACATTGTGTCCTTGATGGGGCAGGCGAGGGCATGGAAATAGACTCCCCCACCCAGGCCCTCTGGATGGGCACTGGGCAGTCGCTGCAGAAATTTAAAAATGCACATATCGGGATCCCTGGGTGGCTCAGCAGTTTAGCACCTGCCTTTGGCCCAGGGCGTGATCCTGGAGTCCCAGGATTGAGTCCCATGTCGGGCTCCCGGCATGGAGCCTGCTTCTTCCTCTGCCTCTGTCTCTGCCTCTCTCTCTCTGTCTCTCTCATGAATAAATAAAATCTAAAAAAAAAAAAAATCTCATTTAAAAAAATAAAAATAAAAACGCACATATCGTCTAGACTGAGACGGTCCACTTCTAGGAACCATCTATGAGTGTATGTACTTGGACACCTGCCAGAGCGAGTATATGTTGTAATGGCAAAACGCTGGCATTCACCAAAATGATGGCCGGGAGGGGACAGGTTAAGTATGGTGCAATGCTAGAAGTCCTTAGAAAGAATGAGGTGGGTCCGAAGACTGTCACATCTTCAGGATATACTGGAACGCCCCCGGCTTTCTTAACAACTATCATGAGCAAAAAAGGTGAATGCCCTTGAACACGCTTCCAAAATATATGCAGATTATGCACCCTGCCTACAGCAGGTACTGTTTAGAAAGTGAATTTTTTTTTAAAGTGAAAATAAAGAAAAATTGCAAAGGGGTGCTCCTTTATTTCCCGCATTATTCTCTTCTGTGCTATTTTTCTTACTATGAGCATGGTATGATTCGGGGGGTAATTAAACAACATAAAATCGGGTTTTAAAATGATTTCCAGGGGATCCCTGGGGGGCTCAGCAGTTTGGCGCCTGCCTTTGGCCCAGGGCGCAATCCTGGAGTCCCGGGATTGAGTCCCGGGATCGGGCTCCCTGCATGGAGCCTGCTTCTCCCTCTGCCTGTGTCTCTGCCTCTCTCTCTGTCTCTGTGTCTCAATAAATAAATAAAATCTTAAAAAAAATAATGATTTCCGTACTCAGGAGCAATATAAAACAGTCATACTCTTTTCCTTACATATCTGTCAGGCCAATGGAGTGACGGTGGGGATCTTTGCTTTTCTGGTTCCTTTTTCTCTTTCTTTCTGTTTTCCCCATTTAGGGAATGGGGGGGATGGGCAGAGGAAAAGGGAGAAGCTCAAATAGACTCCATGCTCAGTGTGGAGCCCAACACAGGGCTTGATCCCATGACCTGAGCCAAAATCTAGAGTCGTTTGCTTAACCGACCGAGCCACCCAGGCGCCCCAGCTTTTCTGGTTTCTTTAAGCAAATAACTTGGAGTGGTCGCAGAGAAACACCAGAGATGCCCACTTCCCGGTCCCCGGAACCTGTGAATATGACCTTATATGGCAAAAGACTTCAAGCATCTTGAGATGAGTTTGTCCTGGATTATCCAGAAGAGCACTGCGTGCATCCTCGTAGGAGAGAAGCAGAGCCAGACCTAGAGTAAGACGCACGGAGAGACTGGAGCGCAGTGGGCACAAGTCAGGGACACGGGAGCCACCAGAAGCTGGGAGAGGCAAGGTACAGATCTTCCCCTGAAGCACCTTGGGGAGTGTGGCTCCACCAGGTTATGGACTTCTAGCCTCCAGGACTATGAAATTTCTGTCGTTTTTGTCATTTTAAGGCCTCTTGGTTTGTGTCAGTTTGTTATGGGAGCCCTAAGGAGCTAACACATCACCTGACTTTTGCAACGATCATAAAATGCATGAAGCACACAGGTACTGTAAGAGACCCGTTCGGGTGTCCTGTTTTGGACGTGTGTGCTCAGGTATTTCTTGAGCATCTAGCTGGTGTCAGGCAGAGGAGGAGCTAGCAGCTAGCTGGTGTCAGGCCTGAGGAGCTAGCAGAGGACCAAAGAGAAATGCCTGACCACCTGGAGCTGACAGGCCGGTGGGAGAGGAGAGAATAAGTAAGATCACAGGAACAGAGGGGAGGACCCATGGGGGTGGGAGGGGCCAAAGAGAACTGAAGACATGGAAGGGAGACACCGGAGTCAATGAAGGGCTGGGAGAACCGGGAAGGGACACTCGGGTACAGCCCCGAAGGAGATGGGGGCAGGGGCTGCGTGTCCACCTGCAGGGAGAGCACGGGGCAGAGGAAACCAGGGACCCCTTGGTGAGACCAGAATAAGGAGGAATGAGCTACCCTTTTCCTCCTATTTCCTTCCCCACTTCCTTTCCTCTCATGCTTGTTGCCTGCCTACTGCACGCCCCAGCTGGGGGTGCAAAGATGTCCAGGGTCCCCATGCTCAAGATCCTCCTCATGGGGGCGGGGACGGTCATACTGAGGCCGCCACAAATACAGCGTGGTCGGCATCCGAGCTTTGCAAGGATAAGTTGGGTGCGGGGTCCATGGTGGAGAGCAGGGTGGGGAGGAGAGGGGGGGCATCTGCTAGGGGCGAGGTTGGGGAGACTGAGGCAAGCAGGGAAAGGGCATGACTTCCGAGTTCAACAGCAAGTGTGTGGCTGTGATTCAGCAGGAAATGAATGGGGGCTGGGGTGGGTGGCACACAGAGACATGTGTCTGGGGATTCTCTTATTCTGTCTTTTTAAAGATTTTATTGATTTATTCATGAGAAACACGGAGAGAGAGGCAGAGACACAGGCAGAGGGAGGAGCAGGCTCCCTGAGGTCCCTCCCAGAACCCTGAGGTCATGACCTGAGCGACAGGCAGACGCTTAACCACTGAGCCACCCAGGCGTCCCATCTTCTGTCCTCAGGTGCAGGAGGCACACCTGGGGGACAATGGGTTCTGAGGATGACCTGCCCCTTTTAGATTCACCCAGTCCATGAAGAGGACACGGTCCCCATGCTTGGGCCGCACAGACACCAGAGTTGATGTGACAGGTAGTATGGGAACTCATCCCTCTGGTAGCTGCGATAAGGACAGGAAAGGCTGAGCTGCTCCTGGATCCAGCACCTGTAGGGCTATGGGGTCGGGCCTTGGCGCCTGCCCCATCCTTCCTCCCTACCCCCATCCCATCTCTCATCTCTCATCTCTCTCTCTCTGCCTGTTGGCCTCAGTCTCTGGGGCCACAGCTATCTCTGGGGCCTAGACAGGGCGGACAAAGCTACCTTCTCACCTGCTGCAGGTGGGACGAGCCTCCATCGGCTCTGCTTGGGTCACCTGACCACATCCAGAACCGTGATGTCAGCCCGGCCCAGAAGGGGGCCACCACTGTGATTGGCCAGGCCCGGTCACTGCAGCCGAGGGGTGGGTGTCCCGAGTGGCCACCTGGACAAATTCCCACTGCTGGCAGGTGTGTTAGCAGATGCAGGGAGCAGGTGCTTGCAGGAAAAACACACACGCACACACAAACCCAAAACAAAACAAAAAACCCAGAACCATCTAACGCCTCCAGAGACATCTGCTGGCTGTGCTTCCACGTTTCCTTGGCTGAGAATTGCCTCAGTCTTGAGTCCAACGCTTTAAGATCCACTCTGCTGGCTCCCAACGCCAAAGCTGCCTGCAGGACTTACTCAGACCTGTTGTAGATTCTTTTTTTTTCTTTTTTCTTTTCTTTTCTTTCTTTCTTTCTTTCTTTCTTTTCTTTCTTTCTTTCTTTCTTTTTTTTTTTTTTTTTTGGCTACAGTCATTATGTTATTTTAATCAAATTTAAAAAAAAATTTTTTTTCTTCTTTGGTTTTTGATTACCCCTCCTAAGGGTAGGAAGGCACCTGTGTTGAGCGCCGTGCGGTTCGTGCCCCATGCACAGACCCCTTCCTGGGGGTGCAGGACCCAGCAGTGAATGGACATGTGCTTCCGCAGAGAGCGGGAGGCGGTGCGAGGCCCTTAACTGTTCTCTCCTCAAGGAGGCCCACCCCCCGTGTTGTATACCCCTGCAGGACAAGGGGCTGTTAGTGGAAGTGCATCATCCAAACACACGCTAGAGGCTTGGAATCTCTCAGTGTCTTGAGTGAGGAGTCTGAGCTCTTGAGATGAGATTCGATGCACACAGGAAATAGGGTTTGTCTGGTTGGCGGAGGCTGTCCTTGAGAAGGATAGTGGAGTCCTGTCATTGCTGAGAGGGACCGGGTGCCCAGAGGGGTTGTCAGCATCTGCCACGGCCGCCCGGCTTCAGAGGGCATCCCTGGGTGCTGCTGCGCCCCTGGACTGTTTGCTGACCAGTGGGCTCTGCTCTGAAGACGGCAGCCCTGTCATCTGCTGTGACATCAGAGGGCACTCAGAGTCCAGTACGAAATGGTGTGGCTAAATAAAACAACCGCAGGCTCTTAGGGAGGAAGGCTTAAGGCAAATGGCTAATTTTTTTTTTAAGTACTTATAACCCACATGTCAGCTGGGGTCATCTTATTTTTGGAGATTCAGATGGAATGGGCTTGAACTCTATCCCAACATGCCACTGTCTCCCACAAGGGAGACCCAACTTTTCTTGGAAACTTTCCAGGTATTGGGGGTGAGGGGTGCTTATGTCTCTCCTGGACACCAGGGCTCTAAATTCCTGTGTCTAATGAATTAGTTCTGCTTGGGCACCCTTTTGCTGGTCTCATGGGCATGTGACACGTACAGTTGCACAGGGCCTATGTCTGGTTTAGTGCTCTGTTGCCATCTTGAACTTCTTAATAATTTTTGAACAAAAGTCTCCACATTTTCATTGTGCAAGTGATGTAGCCAGTCCTCTGTTCAGGAGCTGTTCCCTTTCCACCCCACACTGGTCCACTGGGACCCTGCCCCAGTTCCTCCATGCACCCCAAATTCTGCAACACAAGGCTATGGGTGGAGGAGACTCTGAAAGTTTAGGGGCAAAAGAAAAGTGGTGGCCTCTCGGGCAAGTTAACATAAAGTCAGTGTTCAAATTGGCCTCGTACTATCCAAAGAGTGAAGAGGAAGTGGGGGGGGCGGGGAAGGCAGATGAATCAGGAGGGGCAAAGGCTGATAATTGTTGAACCTGGATGATGGGTCCAAGTGCTCATTATGGTATTTTCCCTACGTTCAGTATGGCGGGAAAGTCCATAATACAAAGCTGAAAAGGCAATCCAAGACCTGCTTCTGGGAGCTCCTTGAAATGTTAAACATGGAGCTTCTGTATGACCCAGAAATCCCACTTCTAGGGTGTACGCCAAAGAGAAATGAAAATGTATGCCCACACAGATGTTGACAGCTGCATTTTTCCTAATAGCTAGAAAGTATAAGTAATGCAGATGCCCATCACCTCACAAATGGATAAATAAAATGTGGATATTCTCTGGCCACAAAAGGGAATCCAGTCCCGCAGTGCGCTATGGCGTG